AAAAATTAAGGTAATAATATAAACAAATATCGGTTTTTGATTTTTCCAACATCGTTCCACCACGTCCAAAAATCTGAAAAAATTATAGATTAATAATTATAACAAAACACTAACAGTGTAAAAATATAAATGTGGTCATTTCATAATTTCTATCAAAACGAGTTATTTTTAAATTTTTCGAATTTTTAAAAAATCCATTTTACAGTGAAAAATTCTGAAAAAATTCACAAACACGTACGCCGTAAAGTAGAATATCAGTAATTTTTTTCAAACTTTTTGATACAGTACAACGAAAGATATACAGCTTAAACTGTAAATTGCGTTTCGCCCTGTAACTACCCCTCCAGTAAGGGTACGGGGTTCAAACTTGGCATAAATGGTTTTTTCTTAACACTCTATTAAGTGATATGTTCATTGATCAATTTGGCTCAAGGGCACTTTTGACCCTCTTATCCGGCCTATACCCTTTTTGTATCTTTACTCAATTGTTCCTACCTCCGGTATTTATCCATAAATTTTATTCAACAAAAGTTTGTTTTCTTCGTAAAAGTGCGATCTATACGTAGACAATAAGAAACTGGACATAATTTGACAATTCCTATTTTTCCATGATGATGGAAGAAATATTCGTGTTCTATTTTAACCGAAAAAATCAAAACTTCTCATATACATTGGCGCGTAACACTTAAACTCTTGAACCGATTGGAAAATAATGTGAAAAGTAATTGTTGGAAATTCGATTACCTTTAAAATGGCGTCTTGTGCGACTTAATCGGACGTTTCTAACTCGAGATATGGCCTAAAATGTGAAGCTATGTCAGAAAAAAATCGAAAAAAATTCATATAAAAAGAACCTATCCATAGAAAAATTTTTTCTTGCGATTGTCGAGTTCAGTAGGCCAAAATACATAAGAAAAAAATTGTGCCGTTGAATGTAATTTTTTTTTTTATTTTGTAAACTAGTGTAATTAATCGATATCGATCGTGTACTTGCGGTTGATTTGGTAATATGAGTCTCTAGGTCCCTTTTTTTAAACTCAGTCTACCAAGTGGGTCTCTAGTTCCCTCTTCGAGATCCACCAAACTTCTTCTGGCTATTGGTACCGTTTACACGAAAGGTTCGAGCATCGATTCGCTTCTTCTTTTGATAAAATGTAAAAAGAGTATGTTTATTGGAAGAGGAAATGTCTTCTTGTAGCGAAGATCATTTGTTTCTATCGAAATTATTTCTTTGTAATTTTTAAAAAGAAGCTAACATTAACCCTTTCGGTACGGAGGAGCGGGCCGCGGTTATACATTCGTGGTACGAGGAACTTTTCCATAATAGTAGTCGCATCGTACGGCAGCGTAAGTTACGAAAACGTGTTTTGCGGTTTCATAGAAATCTCGAGCGTGATTGACACTAAACTTTTGTTACAAAAGTTTCACATTAAATATCCCAAACTCTACAATAGGAATAGAAATTAAATCAGTAAAAGAAGCCAAATTCTTGGGAGTTATATTTGATCAAAATCTGAACTTTAAATCTCATTTCTTTTGAACATTTTCCAAAAAAGGAAACGAGACAAACACATCGGCAAACTTCAGATTTATTCGAACCCTACGGTTTTGCCCATGTCTACTTTTGTAGTTTTGTAATGCATACTATAGAAAGTAATCATACCCGTTTCATGGATGCCGCCTATAGGCAGCAGTAGTACCGAAAGGGTTAACAATGGTCAAACCTTTCCTTTATTATGTAAAGCGTGGTGGCTGTCAGCCGTATTTATTTAATAGAACATCTTATGTAATACGAGAAGGAAGAAAGATCAATCTCGTATCGAAAAGAATGTCGCGCTCAGCCCGGAGAGTCGATTATCTTTTCGGTGATCTTCCTTTCTTTCAACAGAAAGCGTGACGATTATCTGAGAGACGTTGAGAGAAGTTTGAGAATTCCAACGGAAGTCCACAGCCTCGTGGCCTGTTTTACCTCAGAGTCGAACGATGTTAGTTTGCTGAGAAACTTTCCTTTTTTAGTGAACATATCCAGGAACATGTCCGTCGTCGATTGATTCTCAGCCGCTGGCGACGTGTGGCCGTGCGGCATCTCCAGGTGAACCTGAGGTGGATCTGCCACGGAGCCAAAGCGTACAATTTGGATGTTTAATAAACGAGATGCCGGAAAAATGATATTTAGGAATATGATATCAACTCGCTACGAACCTAATTTTTGCCTCTCGTCCGCTGATTCTGGCTGTGAGGGGGATTGAGGCGACTTCAAGTTCTCCCTGCTCCCAAAAGGACTGGACGCCTAAAATAGAATCGGCGAACAATGAAATAGGGTATGAATAACACAAAATAAAATAAATATAAGATAAAAAAAAGTATATATAAAATAAAGCATTGAATAATACAGTTTCAATCTACATGTATGATGCTTACTTGGGACATTATGGAGCTATCGAAGCCACCCTCGGACAGGTCCTTGCTCCAGTAGTGGGTGTGCGCGATCTCCATTAGCTGAAAAACCGAGGCCATTCCACCCAAGCCAAAATTATTGTAAGTGTGTCCAAGACCGTGAGCCACTGCTTGAAGGCACTTTAGCATTCCCTTGTAAACTGGTTTCGAAATGCACTGTTGACAAAAACAACAAGGGTCTTTCTTCGATAAGGATCAGGGTATTGAACTCTGTCCTTGATCAAGGCACAGGGTGTTGGACTCTGTCCTTGATCAAGGCACAGGGTGTTGGACTCTGTCTTTGATCAAGGAACAAGTTGTTGAATTCTCTCTTTAACCAAGCAACAGGGTGTTGAATTCTCTCTTTAACCAAGAAACAGAGTGTTGAATTCTCTCTTTAACCAAGAAACAGAGTGTTGAATTTTGTCTTTGACCAAGAAACAGAATGTTGAACTTACCACATCGTCGATATGATCATCAGGGCTGATCTTCTTATTGAGACTTTTGTTCAGCTTCGTGACCACCAGGTCTCGATAGCTCTCATCTTCCATCAGCTTCTTCAGTCTGTTCAACTTGAGCCAACCAACGCCTTCCCCAGTCAGGACTTGGTTCACCACCTTAAACGAGTTCAATATTTAATATCAATGTCTCCTTAACACTTTTAATTACCAGCAGCCTATTTACAGATTTCTTAATTCCAGGATCGTCTTGTAAGAATTAATTGACTGTCTTGTTGGTCATTTACTTACAATCAATTTAAAGAAACAGATGAATCTTTTGTCATAGCAAGTGTGCAGTACGTAAAAGTGAATGTTTATATTAATATGTATTGATATAGTGAATTCATAATAATATAATTGTCCATAACAAAATAGATTAATATATATTAATACAGAAAATCCTTTTCCAGGTAGTAAACTGTTTCGAGATAAACTGGTAAATGAAGTGTTAGTAATCATGGCGATTTTATACCAAATACATACGTCTGTTAGGAAGGCTTGGTTGTCGCTGTTGGTGCTAGACCGTTCAGCGTTCTGCATCCTCTGAATATCCTCCTGGCTGCTCTTGTTCGAGTGCTTTATCAACGACGAGCGCTCGACTAATCCAGTTTTGCCAGCTGAAATGTTCGCAAGTTGTATTCATTACTCGGCTACTTGGAAATCGTTCAAAAGAATTGATTCTAAGCGTTATACTTTTAGGGAAAGGTCCGAGCATTGGTTTGTTCTTCTCCGATTTCTGCGACTGAGGATGGAGACCGGTATTTCGATTAGAACTATTTTTACTCCCTGGAAATGAAATCAAACGAACGAATTTAATAAGAGCACAGAAGAAATTCTTATCGACAATCAACTTACCGAATAAATCACTAAACATGCTGCTCGTTTGCGCAGCGATGCCATTTAAATCGCTACTAATATTGCTGAAAAAATCACGTCCGATTTCCCTGCGCCCTCCTCGATTATCCGAAGCTACCAATTGTGTACTGCTCGAATCCCTTCGCTGCATCATTACTGGAGACTGCGGGGGCGATTGCTGCGAATCACTGGAACCCTGAACAGTTTCCATCAATGATCACTTGACTGCGGATTTTATGCATTCAAGATACAAACTAATATAATAAACACTTGCTAAACGTAACCAAAAGGTATGTATATACAGTCAGTCCAATGAGTATTCATACGCTCTACGTTTATTGGAGAACTCTGGCTAAATTAAATGATGTAGGATGTAGGATCGCAGGAATGAATGGAAAAGGTTCTAAGGATAAAAGTAAATGGTTTATTTATTAGTAAACTGTGCATTTTAGTTTTGGAGAGGAATAAGTTTTACAGGGTTTTTCTGAAGCAAAGCTTTCATTCTTTAACAACGTGTGTACTGTGTGATCAAAAAGTAAGGTGACTTTTTGAATTTTGCGGGATACCTACAGTCGATTTTCGTTTTCTTTTTCTTCTTATGTTGGTGCATTCGTCCCAAATAAATATGTTTACAGTTCCAGCTATATATATACTATTTAACCGACTTCGAAAAGGAGGAGGTTACTCAATTCGACATATATACATATATATATTTTTTCTTTTTTCTTAAAGTCTGTTCACCGATTACGCCGAGATGGCTTGACCAATCGGAATGAATCCTGTTGCATCTTGTAGAGCATGCCGGGGG